AGTTTATGACAGTAAATTGTAAATTAAATATCGCTGTCATCTCTTTAGGTAGGATTCCTGTCAAGTGATGAGAAAAACATTTTAGGATGACAAATAATACCCCATCTAGAATGTTCTTTTCCCAGATAGTCATGAGACTCATTCCCTCAATTCATTTTGATCTCTGCTCCAATGTCACCTCCTCAGGAAGGCCTTCTCTGGTCACCCATCACTCTCCATCCCCTAATCTGGCTTTGTTTCCCTGCATAGCACTTATCACTATCCGATATTATGCGCTCTACTTATTTCTATGTTTATTGTGCGTCCCTCACGAGGATGGGAGCTCAGTAAGGAGAGGGACTTTGTTTTATTCACTGCTGTGAACAGTACCTACATCAGTTCCTGCCAAGTACTAGGTGTTCAATAAATATTTGGTGATTGAACAAAGAAATGGACAGAGCACATAAACAATTCATAAAAAATGCTCTGGCTTATCCTGGGTTTACATAAGTGACACAAGAAATACAACTAGTAAACAAACCCATGGAAAATATGGAGCATCTTTGGTAATAAAAGACATGCAAATTATAGTACTCAGCCATAAAAAAGATTGAAATGTTGCCATTTACAACAACATGGATGGACCTGGAGGGCATTATGCTAAGTGAAATAGTCAGACAAAGACAAACACTGTAGGTTTTCACTTACATGTGGAATCTGAAAAAATAAAACAAGCAAATGAATGTAACAAAACAGAAACAGACTCACAGATACAGAGAACAAACTAGTGGTTACCAGAGGGGAAAAGGATAGGGGGAAGAGCAAGATAGGGGTAGGGGATTAAGAGGTACAAACTGCTAGGTAGAAAATAAATATGATACGAGGATGTAATGTACAACACAGGGCATATAACCAATATTTTAAAATAAGTGTAAAGGGATTATAATCTATAAAAATATTGCCTCACTATGTAATACATCTGAAATTAATGTAGTATTGTAAATCAACTATACTTCAATTAAAAGAAAAAGTGCAAATTAAAGCAACCACGAGGTGCTTTTTTTCAATGATTAAATTAGCAAACTGAAAGTGTGAACTCATAATATCAAATGCTGATAAAAGGATAATAAACCAGTACTAATAAACAGCAGCCTTATAAACGAGTCTGATCCTTTAGAAAGCTATTTGCCCAGGCCTCAGGCCACCAGTGCCAGGTGTTGTTCATTAGCAGCTCTAACAAGTGGCAGTGACAGTGCGTTCAACGTGAGCGCTGCCCTTGGAGTGGTACTGATGGCAGCCCCGAGGTTGCCAATGTACATCAAATGCCTCAAAATACATATATGCACAAGTGTTCACTACAGTGTCCCTTATAAAAGCAGAAGGCTACAAATAATAACTAAGTACCCAACTGTATGGAAATACTTTAGTCATTTGGAGTACGTGTTCTGAATGAAATTATAGCCATCCCTAAAAATAATACCATAGAGAAGTACCGAAACAGGATGATGAAAAAATACTAAGTGAAAATAATGAATATACAAAACAGTATATGTGTAAAGCACTTTTCAAACTCTCTGGGTGATGCAGTTGTAATTTTTTTTTTACTTTCTTGTCTAAATTAAACAAAAATAAATACATTTTCCAGAACCCTACAAAAACCATATTTCTCATTTTGAGAGAAAATTCTATCTTAAAAGTACATTTTCAAAAAGTGGTAAGTAGGATGAATACTGTATATAAAGTAGGAGTTCAAATTTGCTTTTTATGAACTGTGATTAGAGGTAAAGGCTGGAAGGAGAGCTACCAAGTCTTTAACAAATGTCTATCTTTGGTAGTGTATATATGTCCATGCCACTCTCTCAGATAGCTAGTGGGAAGCAGCCGCATAGCACAGGGAGATCAACTCAGTGCTTTGTGACCACCTAGAGGGGTGGGATAGGGAGGGTGGGCGGGAGGGAGACGCAAGAGGGAATAGATATGGGGACATATGTATACGTATAACTGATTCACTTTGTTATAAAGCAGAAACTAACACACCATTGTAAAGCAATTATACTCCAATAAAGATGTTTAAAAACAAACAAACAAACAAACGTCTATCTTGAGGCAGTGGTATTAAGGATGATTTTAATGTTCCTATCAACATGAAACATGGTATATTATTATTACTATTACTATTGCTATCATTATTGTTATTTACTGAGCCCTTATGACATGCCAACCACTCTGCTGTGTGCTTTACACACACTGTGACGTAATATCCCAGCAGCTCTCTGAGGTAGGTGTTACCTCTGTTAACCCATTTTACAGGTGAGGAAATGGAGACCGAGGCAAAGCTACCTGCCCAAACTCAGCCATGACTTGTTAAGTGACAGCCTTATCAGACACAGACATGATGTCTGCCCTCCTCTGTAGCAAGGAGGGGTTTTTCACTTGTCAGAAAGGATCCAATATGATTTCTCAAGAAGGGCAGCCAGTGGGAGAAGGACTTCAGAGGGGGTTGCACACAAGCCTCTGAGGGCAGCGGGGCTCAGGGCATCTACCCTCCTGAGGAACCCATACGTGGCCAGTGCAGGGTGAGGAGGGAGGGGAGTCCCAGTCAGGCTCTTCCAGAAATTTGAGATGGTTACAGGGAGGAAAAGAGAAAAACCCTAGTAGGCAGCAGTCTGGGTGAGTTTAGAAAGAGATTGAGGAATAAGGAATTTAGAGAGTGACATTTTGAGCAGCAGAGAGGGGAAAAATTGCAGAGGGGAGGCAAGATCATTTGAAGAAATGTCAGGCTGCCCTAAGAATTGAGAATCCTGCAACATACCATTACCTGTTAACTACCTCTGGCTTCTGGACTGTGATTCTCTGAGGATAAATCATGTGGGGCTCTGAAATGTATTTGTATAATATTTTTACTTATCTATTTTTCTTTATTTAAAAGATGTGCATAACATGAATCATGAGCATATGATTCATGTTATAATGAGGAAAACAATCCAAATAAATCTTTTATGTGTTTTAGAACAATTGTTTCTTAAGATGGAGAATGGTTTGGGGAACAGCTAACAATTTCTTTATCCAGGGGTCCATCAGGATTGCTCATGTTCTGTCTTCCTAGTGGGGAGCGTTTGCCAGATGTCCTCAGTACCCACGGGACTTTGGGGACTGCAGGAGACACCCAAACTCTGTGGCTCAGAGAGAGGGGAGGCACTTAAACCATTTCAACTCAGTTTAGTAAATTTTTATCAATTCTCCTGGGCCTGTGCTCAGTCAGAAGGTAGGGCTCCAAGGCGAGAAGTCTACTTTTTTTTGTTTTGTTTTGTATTTTTTGCGGTACGCGGGCTTCTCACTGTTGCGGCCTCTCCCGTTGCGGAGCACAGGCTTCGGACGCGCAGGCTCAGCGGCCATGGCTCATGGGCCCAGCAGCTCCGCGGCATGTGGGATCTTCCCGGACCGGGGCACGAACCCGTGTCCCCTGCATCGGCAGGTGGACTCTCAACCACTGCGCCACCAGGGAAGCCCGAAAAGGCTACTTTTATTTTGCCCCATCTGTTTATCGCCTGCCTCTCACAGTGCACGGAGAATTTCCCAAGGGCAGGATTCCATCCACTTGGTTCATGGCTTATCCCCAGCACCTGGCACCTTGCCTGGCGCTTAGAAGGTATTCGATAAATGCGTGCTGAGGAACGAAGTAACGGCTAACGCCCTGAAAAATGCATCAGCTCTCCCTTGATAGCCGTAATGTCTCTTGTTGGAATTCTCTCTTTTTAAATTTAACTCTGTGGTAACGCTGGCTCAGAAAGTCAGACTGAAAACTCCAGAGCTGGCCAGGAAAAGAACCGATATAATAGAGATATAGAAGGGTAGAATAAGCAATACAATATTGGCTCTTCTGATTTTTTACTCCTTATTTATTCCCATTCCCCAAGCACATACTGTATGCCAGGCACTGTGCTGAGGTCCTGGAGACACAAACCCTTATCCTGACCATAATAACGGGGATAAACAGAGCATTCCCAGGATTACTCTTATCCACTGATAATAACAATTAGAGTCCAGCCCTGTGTTCTAGGCATTTTTCGAGGTGCTTTCCATGAGTTGCTTTGTTTAGAGGTAGTGCTATATTATGCCTGTTTTACAGATGAACAAGCTGAGACTCAGAAAAGTCAGGTAATTTGTTCATGTTCACAACTGGGGTGAAGTTCAGGCTTAGGTTCCCACCATCTGACACCTGTTCTTACACACTTACCAGCTTCCAGGGAGCTTCCTGAGAGGTAATCCTGTGATCACTGGCCTCCAAATCACCAGGAATGCTGGATAAAAGTGCAGATTCCCAGGCTCAGGGCTGAAGGATCAGGATCCTTGGGAAGGGAGCCTGGGAATCCCCAATTTTTAACCACTAAGCCGAGTGATCAGATTTGCACTAAAGTTCGTAAAGCACAGCGCTCAAATGTGCCACAGTTACTCCTTGTGAGTTTACAAACCTTCTAGGACCCACTGTCCTGCACTACACCCTTTCTTCCCGCCAATGGATGAACAGAACAGAATAGAAAGGCAGGAAAGGAGGAAGAAAGGATAAAAGGAAAAAAGGAAGGAAGGAAGGAAGAGAGGGAGGAAGGAAGGAAAGAAGGGAGGGAGGGAGGAAGGAAAGAAGGGAGGGAGGGAGGGAGGAAGGAAAGGAGGAGAAACGCTCCAAATTGGGCTCCATTTCAGTTCAGAGCAGGTGGACACCAGCCCTCTGCCCCTCTGCTCTTGGACCCTGAGCAGCAGGTTCCCTACAGTGGCTGGAGCGCAGCCGAAGGGCCTGAGGAACGCGTCCTTAGGAAGCACCCTCTATGGACGGTGATATCAGCCCACTTAAAGCAGCTGAAGCAGTCAGCTGCTGGGAACAGCAGTGCAGTGAAACTTAGCTATAGCCAGTGCTCAGAATCTGAATGTTTATCCCTTTCCAAATCAGGACAGTATTGCACAGGGTCCCCTCCTAGTGGGCAGGGTCCGTATCAGTCTGCAGAATGAGAAGATTCAGCCAACAGGAACCGAGGCAGGAATGACAGGCAGAGACACGGGTCCTAGCTCCAAACGGGCTATGGGACACTAGGACAGTGAAGAAAGCTCTATGCTGCAAGGAGAGGAGTGAGGATGGGGCTGCCGGCCAGTGAGGGGGTATCCACAGCTGGTTCTCGCCAGCAAATCACATGGCCACTCTGAGTCAATTTCCTTGTGTGTAAAAGGAAAATAATAATAATAGTTACTATTCTCTGTGATTTATGGAACACTTTTTCTGTGTCAGGCACTGTCCTGAGGCAATCAATCTTCATAACAAATATCTATGAGGTCATTTTGGTCCCCATTTGACCGAAGAAGGAAATGAGCTTTAGGTTAAGAAACCTGCCCAGTATTTCCCGGCAGGTAACCAGTGAAGCCAGGATGTGATCCTGGGTCTGTCTGATGCCAAAGCTTGTCTTCTTAATAATTACTGTTAGCTTCTCCAACATTCCTCGAATTTCTAGTTCTTATGACTAAGTGCCTCAACGTGAGCTGTTCATGGTTTCAGAGAACAGAGGTACCACTCTCTTCCCAGCTCCACTGAGCCTGGATGGTGAAAATGTCCCTTAGCTCATCTGTGTCCAGCAGGGATTCAGCAAATATATAACACGTAGCTCTGTCAACTGAGAGAGCTGTCAAAACACAAGGGGTCCCAGAGGCGTCTAGACCAGGTCTCAGCTGGGCCAAGCAACATGTGAGAAACACAGGGCCCTCTGCTGTCACCTGCTGTCCCAAAAGTCTCAACTGAGGAGAGCACGTGTACAATAGGGCTGGAGGAGTTTTCCGGCACCACAAAGCCTCACAGAAAACCCAGAGCTCCCGGCCAGGTCCCCCTCTCTATCCTAACCTCCCACCTCATTCCTACTTCTAACTGAACTCAAACAGGTCAAATTCATTCCCACCTCAGGGCCTTTGCTCCTGCTGTGACCTCTGCCAAGCAGACCGCTCCCGCTGCCTAGAAGCAGCTTCCTCCAGATCGGCACAAGCTTTCCTCTTCCTTGCCATCTAGCTTTCTGATCAGAGACCCCTCCTGCGGGAGGCCCTTCCTGACGACCCTGCCTAAATTAGCACCCCCCATCCATCCCTCTCCATTACGCCTTCCTGCTTCACCTCCTCTGTGGTGCTTTACACATCTGAAATAATCTTATTCATTATCTGCTTATGTGTTTAGAAAAGTACCTGGCAAACGGCTGACTCTCAATGAACATGTGCTGAATGAATGGATGAGTGAATAAATGAATGAATGGAAAATCTTACTCAAGTGTTTCTGTAATAAGAATCCAGGTACCTATAGTCAAAGTACCCCCCTTCTTTCAGTTTCCAAGGGCAGAGAAATAACCCTGTGGTTGGTAAGAACTTAACAACCGGTAGTTATATCCACACACACTGCTGGGCATGGGTCCAAAGCTAAAAAGGCACTAACTGCTTTTATATAAGGAGGTAGAAACGCAGTCCCTCCGTGTCCTTTAGTCCTGATGCTCTGCATTATGGTATCTGTTACTGTGTTAATTGTTTCTGTCTCACACGGCCAGTTTGGGCTTTATTCTGCCTATGTCTGGGACGGTGACAGGTTCCTATACAGAGAAGAGAGGTAATGTGTCCATGTGTGTGTGTGTGTCCACACCTGTGGGCATGTGTGTGGAAAAGCAGCGACACTCCAGGAAGGGTTAAGTTACAATCAGGCTGTCTGTGCTCAGGGCCCCATGGCTGGCCCAGGAATGGGATGGGCCTGGAAGGTGGAGCAGGCTTGCCTTGCACCAGCTGCTCTTTCCAAGACAGGAGTGCACATGCTTGCCCAGCTGGCCTGAGTGTGTGGAACTCCAGTCGCCTTTAAGAATGGCTTCAGAAGCCCACACCTGGCAATCACTCCCCCAACCCCCTTGCCCCTCCACGGCAGGTTCCATTTGGGAAACTCTCCAGTCGGTCATTAGAGGAATGAGCCGAGAGTGAGCCGTTCATCAGCTCGCCAGCGCTTGGTGAAAAGCAGCAAAGCAGGGATGGATGTGGACAGCCTTCTCTTGAATGGAAGCAACACGACGCCTCCCTGCAAACTGGGGATCGAAAACGAGACACTTTTCTGCTTGGATCAGCCCCATGCTTCCAAAGGTAGGTGTCAGAGGCTGATACTTTAATTCAGAAAACTATTAAGTTGGGGGAAGAAATCAGCAAAGGCAAGGCTGACTGCAAAAATATAACAAAGTCCTCGTGAGACAAGGCTGGGTAAAGTCATCTGTTCAGAAGTTTGGATAAGAGATCAAAGAGCAGAATTGAGTCCAAAGTTCTTCTTGTTCCCCAGGGGAGAGTTGGGATTAATGTACAGGACTCAGGGGCACAAAAGCAGTGGGAGGAGGACCTGAAGTGGAGCCAGAAGAGAGGACAAGTGTAAAAGCTTGAACTTACAAGCATCACAGAAAAGGTGCTGTCACAATCTAGCTGTCGCCTTTTCTTGGGGGAAATCAGTGTGAAGAAGCGATTATAGCGAAATAATGCTTAGCAGCTAGGAAAGAAAGCAATCACTATTCACTAGAGGGGCTTTGTTCTTAAGGAAAAGTGGTTCCCTGAGTGAGTGATCCTTTAACAGACCAACCTTTTAGAAGCAACTGAATCACTCTGTGCTCTCCTCACTTTGTTTCTGCAAAATATTGTTAAGTACAGGGAGAGCTGGGTTCAATGATGTCCGCCCCTGGAAAAAAAAATCGGCAGGAAATAAGTGCTTGGTGCGCGTGCTAGGTTTTAACATTCTGCTCTCATAACCTCCATCCCTCGTCCGCGTTCCTCCTCTCAGAGTGGCAGCCAGCCGTGCAGATTCTCTTGTACTCCTTGATATTCCTGCTCAGTGTGCTGGGAAACACACTGGTCATTACGGTGCTGATTCGGAACAAGAGGATGAGAACGGTCACCAACATCTTCCTGCTCTCCCTGGCTGTCAGTGACCTCATGCTCTGCCTCTTCTGCATGCCGTTCAACCTCATCCCCAACCTGCTCAAGGATTTCATCTTTGGGAGCGCTGTCTGCAAGACCACCACCTACTTCATGGGTGAGTTGCTGCTGGTGCCTATTTCTGGAGCTCGCCCCAGACCCTGCTCAGCCCCAGACCTTCCCCAACCCTTAACAGCCAAAACAAAACATCTGTCTGTGTGGGGCTAGGTGTAAGGACAGAGGAGCTGGCTTTATGAGGGGTCAGTCCTCATAACTCCCCAGAAGTCAGTCCCCAGTTTTAAGGGTCAGTTTCTCAAAGTGGAATAAGTTGGTAAGAAGCCACAGAAGAGGTTGGTTTTGCTTGTTTCTGTTAGAAAATAAGACAGATGCAAGCCATTCTGTTCCTTCCTGGAGGTCGTTGATTGTATTCTGAGCTCTACCCAACCCAAGGCATGGCTTTTGGGGTAGCCAGGGTACTGGAAGAGGGCTCTTTCTGCCGTTGCTCTGGCTTTCCTGGGGAACAGGGACTATTTGAAAACGAGTTTCATCAGAGGTCTAGATTCCCTTCTCAGGATTCACTTCCCAGACTGTTTTCCCAGGGTCTGGGACCATCTCAGGCACGGAGAGAGAGAGAGAGACCTCTGCCACTAGACGAGGAATTGAATTTGCTCCTAGAGCCTGTGGATCACTAAGCTGACACTGGGTGGCTGAGATATGCAGCTCTCTGCCTTTGCCAATCAAAATGATGGTGATGATAATAAAAGTCACAAGAGCTAATATTTTTGAATGCATTTTTTGAGCACCAGATATTCTCCTAATTGCTTTCAGTTTTTACTTCCATGATCATATTTTATCTCCCAACCACCCTATAAAGAATATACAGTTATCCCTCCCTGTTTCACTGAGGAGGGAACAGAGGCACAGAGAGGTTAATAATGTGCCCAAGGACACACAGGCGGTAAGCTACAGAGCTGACTTGAACCCAGATCGGTAGCCACAACAGTGGTGAGTACATGACCTCGCTTTGCCAACTGTTGTGGCTCTTCTAAGGCGGAAACAAAACATGCCTCTCTGTCCCCTCTGTCTGCCAAAATGCTTTGTCCCTTGCCCATTCTGAGAATTAGCTGGGAGAGGAGGAGGAGAGACGGGGAATGAGGAAGGAGTTGTTGTTTGTTCTGACCTAAGCTGGGCCAAATACGCAGAGCTGAGTTGGGCTAGGGTAGCCTCCAATGACCGGAAAGCTTTAAAAGCCTTTATTTCTCCCAATTGAGGAAGCAGGATCCAGCAGTGACGAAATGACGATGAATAACTGATCTGCGTGACATGGACAAATAGCCAAGAAAGCGTCAATCTGGGTCCAGTCCTCGACTCACAAATGAAAAGGATCATTGTTAAACAATGACGCAATATTAGTAACCAACATCTCATAGTGCTTTAGGCTTTCAAGACCTGTCTGTATATATCTTACGATAATATTTGATAATCTTAACCAGGGTTTGTGGAAGGAGATTTAAAAAGAGTGCTCGTGTAGCGGCACAACACTGTGAATGTGGTAAATGCCACAGAACCGTTCACTTTGAAATGATTAAGTTTATGTGATGTAAGTTTCACCTCAACCAAAACTGTTTTCAAATAGCTGGGGTCTGAGCTAGGAGCCTTAAAACTCTTCCTGAAAATTTCTAGGACAGACTGTTCTAGAAAATGAAAAGCAAGATAATTCTGCAAGTGTTTGCAATACCATAATGGTTTTGTTGGATTTCTGATTCCAGTGATTTCAATTCTTCCCTTAATTTTATGTTCTCCTCGATACTGTTTCTAATAGTTAACACTCATTAAGCTCCTAATACAGAGCCAAAAACAAGAGTGCTCGCCTGCTGGTGGGTTTATAAGTACAGTGGACCCATTGTACAGACTTGACTCTGAGGACTTTGGGGCTGTACCCTCTAATTCAGATGTCATCAACTCCTTAGAGTAAAGTCCTATAAAACACAGCAAATCCTGTCTCAGACGTAAGTTCTTATAGAATGGTTTCAGGGTTGTAGATTCCTTCAAGTCTCTCAGGAATACTCTGGATATTCTCCCTAGAAAAAGAATATTTTTATACATAGTTTCACAAAAGGCCCCAGGCTAAGAACTCCTCCATCATGGTAAGAGATAAGAGAAGAATCAGTTGAATTTATGGATGAAGAATTAAAGGGAATTTTAAGGGGATATGAGATTATAATAAGTATGTACACACACAAAATACAAAAAATAAGGAAAATTAAGCTTTTTTGACTATACGTAAGTATATCCTTTTGAATGAGGTGTTTTGACGTCTTTCTCACTGATGATGCATGTTCCTTTTACAAAATACAGAAAGCAAAGAGAATGAGAAAAAAGGCCCTAGTCCTTCCCCCCAGAGAAAAACGTTAGTTATAATATGGAGAGTTTCCCCTTCTTCCTTTTTCACTAGGTAATTTTTCAACACTCCATTTGGAAACTTAGAATGTTTCACTCTTAAAAACAGTTTGGGGACTTCCCTGGTGGTCCAGTGGTTAAGACTTCCCCTTCCAATGCAGGGGGTGTGGGTTTGATCCCTGGTCAGGGAGCTAAGATCCCACATACCTTGTGGCCAAAAAACCAAAACATGAAACAGAAGCAACAAATTCAATAGTGTAACAAATTCAATAAGGACTTTAAAAATGATCCACATCAAAAAAATCTTTAAAAAAAAGTCTGTACTAGAAATTTTCAGGAAGAGTTTTAATGCTCCCAGCTCAGACCCCACTGAATTTTCAGGGTCACAGTCCTTGAGAATATTGGGTTAAAAGGTCAACTTAACTATGCAGATCACGCTCAAAACTAAAGCTATTCTACAGGTCACTCAGAACCTCTTCTGTGGGATAGGAACATATTTCATCCACTTGGTTATTAATTAATGAGCGCCTTCAGCCTAGGAAGGAGTTGGTTGTAATCAAAGTTCAATAAACTTATCTAAAAATTGGCAATAAGATGTATTTGCAAACACATTTCTTTACCTGCCTCAAATCGTTTTGGGAACAAAGCTGGGAATAAGTCATTTTTTTTTAGATATACATACACAATATTCTTACCCTCTGAGCGTTTTCCTCTGCTATCTATCAAACCTGCGCAGATCAGGTATGCTTAAGCTCATTGTGCAAATAAACTTTGGATTTCAGAGCCTGCGTAACCAGCTTCTTTGTTCCTTTTCCAGGCACCTCTGTGAGTGTCTCCACCTTTAATCTGGTAGCCATATCGCTGGAGAGATATGGGGCAATTTGCAAACCCTTACAGTCCCGCGTCTGGCAGACAAAATCCCACGCTTTGAAGGTGATTGCCGCTACCTGGTGCCTCTCCTTTACCATCATGACTCCGTACCCGATTTATAGCAACTTGGTGCCTTTTACCAAAAATAACAATCAGACCGCGAACATGTGCCGTTTTCTACTGCCAAATGATGTCATGCAGCAGTCCTGGTAAGGCTGCATGGGTTTATTTGTTTAATACAACTCGATATAATTTTGCAGGTTTAATAAAAACTGGAATGTATTGTCCAGTGTCTGGGGGGATCAGTCTCCTAGAGACTTATCAAGAAGTTTCACTCTAACCTCTTTCTAGAGTAACAGTGACAGCAAACACTTAGAGTGCTGTGTTTTAAATGCTATATATATATATATATATATATATATAAATATAAATTCAACTAATCCTCTCAAAACCCTATAGGGTGGGTACTATTATTGTCCCCATTTTACAGAGGAAACTGAGACATGGAGAGGTTAAGCAAGTCACTCAAGTTCCCAAACCTAGAAGAGATAAGAGAGCATCTGGTCTTAACCACTATGCAGTGTGCTTCTGGAAGAGCTCTGATTTTCCAAGAACTGGAGGTAGAGCCGAGGATGAGTTCCAAATCCCACGTGGTTTTTCTTAGAGCTGCAGCTGTGGTATTTGCACGGGACACTGTACTGGAAATAAAAAGGCAAGGTTCTAGTACCTGTTTCTTTGCTTACTAGTGGGTGATATTGGACAAGTTCATATAACCTCCCTGACATTCAAGTTCTTTATCTACACAAAGATTTAAGAATAAAGATTTTTTTTATCTACCTCATTAGATGGATGTGAGATTCAAATGAGAGCATGTTTATGAAAATGTCACTAAATATCTTTAAAAAGGCTACACAAATACAGGACATTATGTTTACCAGTTCCCAGCATGTTTTAGAAGCAGGGAGCTAGACATTTAAAAATGGCTCAAGGGCTTCCCTGGTGGTGCAGTAGTTGAGAGTCTGCCTGCCAATGCAGGGGACACGGGTTCGAGCCCTGGTCCGGGAAGATCCCACATGCTGCGGAGCAACTGGGCCCGTGAGCCATGACTACTGAGCCTGTGCGTCTGGAGCCTGTGCTCCACAACAAGAGAGGCCCCCATAGTGAGAGGCCCACGCACCCCGATGAAGAGTGTCCCCCTCTTGCAGCAACTAGAGAAAGCCCTAGCACAGAAAAGAAGACCCAACACAACCAAAAATAAATAAATAAATTTTTTTTAAAAAGTATTAGACATGGGAATAAATGGGAAAATATGAGCTGTACATAGAAAAAAACTGGCAATAGAAACCAACCCTAAATAACACAGATGTTGGAAACTTCAGACAAGGATTTAAAAAAAACATAGCTCAAAACTGAGATAATTTCTGCTTTCTTTGCCTTCCTTTTTTTCATTTCAACCAAGTAACGCGTACACACAAAAAGAGTTATGTTGCAAATGAGGGACTTTTCCAAGATTCGAAAAGAACTCTTATCAAAACATGTCCAATTGAAATGAGAAATGGCTCAGCCACCGTGAGCCTCTGACAATTTTATGGCCTAATTGCGTAATCTTACACATGCCAGACTGCAAAAGTGATTTAGGGGCCAGACTCATAAAGAAGGAGGCTGCAATTCTTCAGGAATCAAACATATTTAGAGAAAGCATAGCTCTGGCCCACCAGGCACTAGAACGAGCTTGCCACTGTGCCAGCGGGTCAGAACAGCCAGAATGCTTATTTTGCAAAACCAAGGAGGTTTTCCATCATTGCTACCTATGCATTAGACGATTCTGTTGCTATAAAGTCAACAAATGGTATATTGTGATGTTTAAGAGCATGAGTTCTAGAATTGTATTGCTCGGCTTCAGATCTCACCTTTGCCACGAGCTGTGTCATTTTGGACAAATTGTTTATTGTCTCTAAGTCTGTTTCCTCATTTGTAAAATGGGTATCATGTTACTAGTACCTACCTCAAAAGTTATTATGGGAATTAGATATAGTAATATATATATATACTATATTGAAATTGAATAAGTCATCAATGAATGTAAACTCTTATTATTATTATTTCAGAAACCGTTTTATTGAGGTATTCACCTACTCTCATTGGCTTGTTTGTTTTTTCTTTTTTAAGCTCTCATCTGTTTTAAATGTAGACTTGTTTCAGGCACAGACTTACACCAAATTTTTCCATTTAACTAGTCCTTCATAAGAGACTTTAACTGAAAGAAAAGAAGTAAACAACTTCTAATGACTGACTCTCCAGATGGGGAATTTCCAAAGATATTAAATACTAGTAATTAATGTGTTTCCTCAGACTCATTAAAATGGAGATGAACCCTGCTTATTCCATCCCATCTGAGTTTGAAATGCTAGAGATGCTGGTTATTGCTTTTTATTTTATTAGGCACACCTTCCTGTTACTCATCCTCTTTCTTATTCCTGGAATTGTGATGATGGTGGCATATGGATTAATCTCTCTGGAACTTTACCAGGGTATAAAATTTGATGCTAGCCAGAAGAAGTCTGCTAGAGGTAACTATCTCTTAGCTGTATGTTGATGCCAAAAGATTACAAACGCTTATTGTCTGTAACTTAAATGGATATACACAGAGTGTGTATAGGGTATATTAGAGGTTTTCAAAAGTCTTCTTAGGAGACTCTGTGTCCTAAGGCACAGTCGTGAGACCCAGTGTCTCACTTCCTCATCTGTAAAATGAAGAAATTATTCCTCTCAAAAGGGTGCTGAGTGGAATAAGATGACATAATACACACATCACCCAATTACAAGCCGAGGGCCCATGGGTCCCAGGCTCTCTGTGCTGTTGCGTACAAATGGACCGCCTTCCACAACCAAAGCAAATTGTAATTCCAGGCGCCATCCTCTCTCCTCCCCTTCACTCCTGTTGCAGCTGCCACAGAGCCTCCCGTCCCCCCTTTCATTATAGTCCACTCGCCAGAGAAACTTACCCGACACCTTTGTTGGTATCACTCGCCGCCCCCCCCACACACACCCCGTTCTCACTCCACCCCTTTACTCAGCTCTTTACCACTTATACAACTTCAAGGTCTTCTTTGGTTTTTGCTCGTTATGCAGAGTCCTCACAGTAAAAGCAGTCTGGAGCTTTCCCAAGCAAGCAGGAGACTTCCCCCTGAGGAGCTGGAAGAAGAGTGTGCCTATTCATTCTTGAACAGTTCTTTAGCCCTATAATCTACATATGTAAAATATTATTTTACTATTATAAATTATGTACATCAGATACTATACATTATTTTAGTAGCTTTAAGTAGCTTTTCATTTGAAGGAAAGGACTAGTGTAAACAATACCTACCCATGTCAACCAGGCCCGAGGTCGCCTGCCCAATAGTACAGTTCAAGTGTGGTTTAGCCCCTTGATGCAGGGGGCAGGGGTTCCACGCCTTCCATCTGGCATGACCCATCCCGAAAAATAAGTGTTGTCCCTTGCCCATCCAGAAAGGAAGCCGAGCCCCGGCAGCAGCGGCAGATACGAGGCCAGCGATGGGTGTTACCTGCAGAGGTCCAAGCACCCAGGGAAGCTGGAGCTGCAGCAGCTGTCCAGCAGCGGCGGCGGCAGGCTCAGCCGCATCAGGAGCAGTAGCCCCGCAGCCAACCTGATGGCCAAGAAGCGGGTGATCCGCATGCTCATGGTCATCGTGGTTCTCTTCTTCCTCTGCTGGATGCCCATCTTCAGCGCCAACGCCTGGCGGGCCTTTGACACCGCCTCTGCAGAGCGCCGCCTCTCCGGGACCCCCATCTCCTTCATCCTCTTGCTCTCCTACACCTCCTCCTGCGTCAACCCCATCATCTACTGCTTCATGAACCAGCGGTTCCGCCTCGGCTTCATGGCCACGTTCCCCTGCTGCCCCAACCCTGGTCCCCCAGGAGCGAGAGGGGAGGCGGGGGAGGAGGTGGAGAGCAGGACCACCCGGGCCTCTCTGTCCAGGCGCTCGTACAGCCACGCCAGCGCCTCTGCCCCGCCCCCGTGAGCTGTGCCCTGGCCGCCAGCACCAAAGGATGGAGCGGGGACCGAGGGAGGCAGCAGAGAAGGAGAAAAAGAAGAAAGCAGGAGGAAGAGGAAGCGGGAAGTGAAGGAGCAGGAAGGCGCCATCCCCAGTGCGAACTATTCCTTGTCTGCTTGGCATCCTTCGTCTGGGTGCCAGGGGAACACTACTAGGGCGGAGCCGGGACTGGGTTTCCAGGCAGCTCCAGGCAGGCAGTTTCCATACCAGTCACCATTCGAAAAACCTCAGCAGGCCGGTAACAGGAGTCCAACAGGACTCCTCCTGCACGTGTAATTGCCAAGCACGTGTTCAAACTGGGACGCGGACCCTACTGAGCTTTAGAAGTGGGGCTTTGGAGTCGGCTGTCACTCCCCATAGGGACACCCTTCTGTGCACTACTGCTTCTGCTGATGCAAAATTTGGGGGGCTACTTTGCCCCTGGGGAGTCCATCACTCTTTCACGTACATTCTGTAGCCATCCACCTCATCATGACCACGAATGGGAACCCAAAGCAAACCCTCTTCCGGCCATTTTCTGTAGTAAAAGAACAGCCTGACTTGTGCTCCTTGAGGTCTGTCAGGGGCATTCAGAGACATAAGTTTATGTCGTCATCAGAACAGCATCTGGAAAGTTGTCTAAACGATGGAATTTGGAACTTATATTTCTGAAAAGAAAAGAGTATGTGGCAAGTAGCTGGATGGAATGCTGTCTTAGCATAAGGAATGTTAAATGCCAGAGGGGGCATAGAAATATTTTTCTACTTTAATAATATATATTGCTTAACTCCACCTTTATATGGTGATATGAAACCCCATGGCTTCTTTGCCTCAACTTAATTTCTCATACTCGTCCTCTTTTCTGGAAAGACCTCAAGGTACAAAGGAGAGTTGTAACCTATGTGCACCTGGCCAAGCTGGAAACAGGTGGAGTCAGGCCCAGAATAAAAACTGGCATACTTGGACTCAATTAACAAGTAGCTTTTGAAAGTCAAAGGCTGTATATGCCTTTAAGTACAATCTATGTGTTTGTTAATGTTCATAGTAATTTTATGTGTATGTGGAATATGAACAGAGAAGTACATTCTTTACATATATATATACTCTTCAGGGTGTTTAAAAAAAGAATGGCGGATGGAGGTTGGAATTCAGAAAGTGTTATCATTCTACATTCCTCTACAACGGTTGGAGTTTCATGAACTTCTTTTCTTTGCAAAATTGGTGTTGAAATCTCTCTCCTCCAATGTAGAATCTCAGCTTAAAATAAGACATGAACTTACATTTAGATACAAGGAACAGAATGTGTCAATCCAGTCTACCAGCCCTCCTCCCTCCTCCCCACCACTTTCTTTCATAGTTTTCATGCCTCCAAGCATCTGAGAGGTGAGCTTTTCTTTTTCCTGTTTTCTTGGGTCCATGACCACCCATTGATCCATGCCTGACAGACACTCTTTGTGGTGCACAAGGGCTAGTGTTTTCAATTATAAAAAAAAAAAATCAATACGGAAAGGGGAGGGGCAGAGAGTGGCAGGAAGTGATCATGAATAGGGGAAGGGACGTTGTATAATTTAACAAGATGTGAGTGTTGACATTTGTTGTTTTTTTGCGGGTTGGGGGTATAAAGTGTTAACAGAGAAGAAATTATTGAGGATGTGAACATATGTTATAGGGGACTTTTCAAGCCAGATGTTAGTTTTTCTATTCCTCAGACTACAATCTTATTTTAATAATTCTAACCAGTCATCTCTGTCAAAAATTTCAAGGTAAAAATTCAACTGACTAAAACGTGCACTGCTAAAATAGTAATGATAAAAGGTGTAAGAAATGAAGATGCCTCCAATATTTGAGTAAATCCTACAAAACCTACCATTTTCCTGCCAGAACAATAAACCTTCCTCTCTGACAATGTTAGCATATAACTGAAGCTAAATTAGCCTCTTTGCTCCCCACACCTTATTGGAAACCTTTGGAAATTCCAAAGGTATGTTAACCTAAAAATAGGGTTGCCAGATTTAGCAAATAAAATACAGGATGTCCGGTTAAATTTTAATTTCAAATAAACAATAATTTTTTTTAGTATGAGTATGTCCCATGCACTAAAATACATCTTATATTTTATCTGGCAACCCTACTTTAAAAGCATGTAAGAATATAAACAAGTTTTCCCAAATATAATATAGAGCAATGAAATGCATCTGTTCACTAAATTTATTGGAAAGTCTTTCACATAATGGAAGCTTTTTTTTAAAAAGAAGAAAAACGCTATTAACTTTCAGAATCGGTGCCTGACCTTTGGAAATGGTACTATCAATAGGCTGATTTTACTTTAAGAAAAAAAATGTTTTTAACATAAAGCTATTCTAGTACTTTGTTGAGTCAATTGCCTTTATTTCATGGGAAACTGAATTCTTAAATTTGAAATAAAATGACCAATAGAGTTAAGAAAATAGATTCACCAAGTTTCTGGTATTTTCTAGTGTCTTCTGGTAGCTTCCGCTCATCACCAGAGTGGTAAGTTTGAACCTGAGCACTGAAATGTATCTTTGATTTTTACTTAGCCCATGTGTCCCAATGGCTTCTCATGCCTTAGTTACTTTGGTAAACTCTCAAGATAGCTTGCAGTGGTGAATAAGAAATGCACGTGTCTAGATATTAGTTTATACATGTTCGTGTGTGTATCTTCTCCATTCACTTAAAATGTAATCATGAGGCGAGCGACAGCAGCTGTTGAATCTCCACTGTATTTCCTTCCAGTGCTTTGCCCAGTACTCTGTACACCATGAGTGCTCAATAAATGGTGTGACTGACTCCTGCTCTGCCTCCGATGCTTTGGAGAACTCTTTTCCTGTCCACAACAGTGAGTTTCAACAAGGCGGGCATACTCTTGGGGAGTATCAGAATTCCTAGAGGGCTTTTTCCAACTCTGCGCGTATCCCTACCCAAGACTTGGCTGTGTGAGCATTTGTTGCCACCTCTCCCTCCCTTTTGCTCTCCCCCGTGTGTGTGTGTGTGTGTGTGTGTGTGTGTGTGTGTGTATAATTGGAGATGTTACCAATGGGATGCTGTCACGTCTGTGAACAGTGCCAGGACACGGATTTTTTTAAAGGGCTGGGAAAAAGGACAAATACTGTAAGATTCTATTCACACGAGATATCTAAAGTAGTCAAAAATCATAGAAACAGAACATAGAAAAGTGATTACCAAGGGCTGGGGCTTTAGTGTTTAGCCAGTGTAGAGTTTCAGTGTTGCAAAATGAAAGAGTTCTAGGGTCTCTTGCCCAGCTATGTAAATGTACTTAAAACTACTGAACTGTGTGCTTAAAAATGGTTAAGATGGTAAATTTAAAGTTAATGTGTTTTTTAGCAAAATAAAAAAGGGGGAAGGGGGTTGGGAAGCACTGGTCTATAGTATCCCTTGGTTTTGCTCCTTTCCACCCTCATTCTCTTTAAGGAGAACAGTAAAAATAACCATCACTGTGTTCCTAATCCATGTTTAAGTACTCTACTCACTTGTTAGGGCTGATAAGTATTATCAAAGCCCACTTGGCACCCTTAGCTGTTACCTCCCATCTATTTGCTCTCCTGCAGGCATCTTCCTGTGCCATCCCCCCCCACCCAAACCTACCTCTGAGCCCTGTGGCCGTCTCTCAGCTCCAGCCAAGGTGCTTCCTTGATTCGGATCTCTATGGCCCCTCCGGCTTTCTGGTCACCCTCAAGTGGAACATAGATTCCACATTTCCTAAACCTGTTGCCACAACTGAGGACCAGCCCCACAATTCCACACTACACCCTGGCTCTGAGCAGCCCAGCCTGGGAAGAATTTCAGGTCCTCCTTCTTGCTCAAGAAGAGAGATCAGACAAGTATGAATTGTCCAGCAGCCACCCTTGTACATAACACATTACAGGTGCTCAGTAAGTGTCTGGGGATGAATGAATAAGCAGATGGATGAACACATTTGAATGGAGTCCGTCCTCAATGCCGGGCCTTTCCGGGCTGCTCTGGGGACAGCACCATCCTAACCAGAGGCATCTTGCCCAGAGTGTGCAGTAGGTAGGGCTTGACAAGAGGTAAAGCTGACTGGGCAGCCTCATTCTGTTTCCAATCCTCCACACTGAACATGAAGTACAGCAAAAACTGCTTTCCAGTTCGCTGACCATAAACACGTCCTCTGACGGTAAAGAGGATACACATTGGACCCCAAGTCCGGAAGTCTGTGTCCCAAACTTAGCCCTGTCCCTAACTTGCTGTGTGGCTCCAGGCAGGTCACACACCCTCTCTGGGTATCAATTCCTTCCTGCAAAATGACGGGTTGTTGCTCCATTTTTGGTACTGTGGGATTCAGTGGGTCGGAATGTGCTATGTGCTTTTATTATTCCATACCCTCCCTTAGTTTCGTTGGCTTCCCGTTGTCTGTGCAATCAGAAAAGCTCCCTGACACTAAGCACATAACCACCTCTGAGGAAGGCTTGATCTCGAGGGCACCTCTGAGAGAAGGCGGCCAGGGTGAGAAAGAAAGGGTCTCAAAGAGGAATGTGCAAGCTCTCAGCCCCTTCTGGGTCACAGCTGCCCAGAGCAACTTGTGTGAGGCTGGTCCCTGGAACACGAGCCACATTCCCACTGAAACGCAGGCAGAAAAATCCAAACCAAGTTTCTCCTAGATGAAAGAAGTACCAACATTCGTTAAAGCCTGCTTTATGCATTGTGAAGTCACTGGTGACAGCGGGTAACAATACACACTCATGGAAGGATGAATGAATGTCTGGTACATATGGGGTTAAAGGAGGCCGTCAAAAAGATGCTACCGCCAGTTGACCCTCGAGCTGGAGGCTCCCCTTCCCCTCCCCTGTCCCTGGAATATGCTTTCCACTTGCCTTCCCTGTTCCCAGAAGCTGCTCCAAGGATACAGCCTTGAGATAGAAATGTGGTGCCGAGGCTCCTGGACAGTGCAGAGAAGGCCTCTGAGTAAACTTCTAAGAGTCTGGTGGGCACGCGTGGAGATCGACTCATCTTGCTGCCACCCAAGAAAGTCCCCTTGCTTCTTATACCTGCCACGACCAATCTGGAGGGCGGCCTCTGTCTTCAGTCTCTCGCTGCCCTCTACCAAGGAGGCCGGTTTCAGATTTTACCCTGGAAGGCCCCGAGAAGGCTGCTTGCAAAGCAGCATCTGGTTTCTTATTTAAATCTCCAAACAACGTGCGAGGCATCATTTTCCACAATTCACAGGTGAATAAGTTGAGCCTCAGGGGAGTGACCATGTGTACGAGGTCCGACAGCTAGTAAACAGCAGAGACAGATCAGGCCCATTCTAATGCCACCAAGCTGCTGTCGGGATTAGGTGACATTCAGTAACCTAAGTGATCAACAGCTGGTGATTTCATTTCCTATAATGCTTCACAGTTCCTCGTCCTGGTGCTACACAAGCTTAAGGATGAGAAATTCCGTCTCTGTCCCCCGCCCCCCGCCCAAACTCACTCACCAATGGCCTTGCTCTGAGCTCCCTGAATGTGGAGGATTTGAAAGCTGGCATTTTGCACGTGTGTCTTGGATGCTTCTATCTCTATGTTAATTTTTA